GTGACAATTAATTTTATTCGATTTATATGTATGTATTTATTACATAGGTCATGTTATTTCCACACAGGGTAATCTCTGTATTGTGCAAGCATACCTACCTATCCAGACTGTGAAAGGCTACCCAGCAAATATTATTTCTTATACTTCTATGACCTTGAAATAGCAGTGTAATATAATTATTGTATCATATTAAAGGGCTTCATCAAAACCGCACAGTCTCCTATACCTTCTTTGTAGGCAATTTTGGGTTCCTATTAGTCTTCTGAAGGCTCACACTGCCTGAGTTCAAGGATAGAGAAGGCATGCCGTACTGTGATCCCTCTGGCTTTCTGTAATTACTATATATCCAGACTATTACCCGTTATCAGGACCGGATTAAGTCAATGAGCACTGGGACGTCTGCCCCGGTCATTATCAAGAGACTGCCCCAAATCACTGCCCTTTTCCACTGTGAATACACTGGCCTACTGAATGGTTGCAAGGAAACATTTCCCCTTACAAAGCCACAAGTTTTTTTCTTTCTTAATTCAGCCTACAGCAATTTATTTAATTTAATTCATCTTGATAGTAGATAATACATTGTAATTGATACATTTGTTTCCCTGCAAATAAAAGCGAGGACACTTTTAACATTACTGTTGTATACTGTAATAGTTGGGGACAGCAGAACAGATGCCAAATTGGATTAAAGTGCTTTACCAGGATAGAAGGGATATGGGTGAATGGACGAAATATTCAAAATTCTTTTGAAAATATTATCATAAAATGAAGCGAAGTAGTCAATCCCTCCCTGACACACTAAGTATATAAGCACTTGTGATACAGAATCACCATTCATTGCTGCATTAACAAACCTGACTGGTTTTGTTGGGTATGCTGTATGTTGTTATACCCTTTATATAGAAACTCTGGGCTTGCAAAGTAACCTGTACCTGAAAGGGATAAATAAACGTAGCTGGATAAAAAACATTTTGCTGTGAAAGGTTTATATCTTTTTTAG